CATGGATCGGTCTTTTTCTTCCTTATCCTTTCAGAATGGAAACAAGCTCATGAGTTCCGGCCCTGCTCTTGCTAGTCTATACTAAATGTGGGGGCTTGTAGTCATCCACAGTTGCACAGGCTTGGACAGGGATGGCACGCAACCAGCAGCTTATGCAGTACGTACGCTGCGCCAGAGTCCCGCCTGCGCAGCCGTGGCTTCCTGACACCAGTTGGGGGTGTCCGAGCTTCAGATGCTCCATGGCTTATCTTTCGACATGCTGACACAAAGAAGAGATGCGAGCTCGACAAACACACTTAATACAGTGACTCCTTACAAAATCCTTCGCAAGCTCTTGTAAACGACCTAGAAGCATGTGGAAACTTGAATATTTGGGAAACCTCTTGGAATCTTTCTGGAGCGTATGTTCCTTCCAAGAATCAGACCTGCCGCTCCATCAGCTGCAGCACAACAGGATAGATCATGACCTAACGGTGCGCTCACGGAGGGGAATAGAGGTGACAAGGCTAGCTCACCATCAAGCACTGCTCAAAGCATTCCAAGTGCCTGTAGAAGCATGGTTCCAATCCGCCACTGCTGCTCTCCCTCTAAGACGCGCAAAGAAAGCCCAAAGCTGCTTGGCTAGAAAGGAGCAAACCACACGCACGTTGGGACGCGATGTTGTTGGTTTTTGAGCCAGTCAGAGTGCTGTCTTCTTGCAACAACAAGAAGTTCTGTTGAAAAAAGATGTAGGCGTTCTTTTGGGGCTGTTGGCCGTTGCTACATTGGCACACCTGGCTAAGCCACATGCTCGGCGTGGAGAGTCTGGCGCAGGCACCTTGAAAGACACGGGCGCAAGCAAAAAACAGCTTGGATTATAGTTGAGTTTGGGATTGCTTTCTTTACCTCAAGCTTGGTCACCCTTGCGCATTATGCTTGTGCGTCATGCGCAGGAAAGAAGAACAGAGCCCCGAACCGAAGGATTGTTCTTTTGAGGTCTGACAGCTTTGCTCAGTGAGGCCCCAGCGCTGCAGTTAACGTAAGCCCGCGGTGACCCGGCTCGCCTGCAACTGCCATTCCACGAAGAGCAAATAAAAGTCAAAGTCGTACTCAAAGTCAGACATGAAGCTCAGCAAGGTGTGTCAAAGTCAAAAACAAGAATCGCAAAGCCGCAAAGCTGAGCCATTGACGGTGGCATCTGAAGAAATGTCGTTTGCACCTGAAACTCACAACAACAAACAGAAAATTGCATCAAGCTAAAATGGGCTGTGATGTTCTTCCCGGGCGCGCCGCTGCCTTCCCGAATTGCAACAACTCAGCAAGTTCCCTACTCACACCTGTCCAATTCGCCATGAGCTTCTGGCTCTCTCAACCCTCCAGCTTGGCACAGCCTACATCACATGAATTGTGACCTGTGATACCTTACAGACAACTCACACGTCACGTGCACATACATTACAGACTTTAGACACTTTGCGTGCAGTACATCCTATATGCGACATGTTTCTAAAGACATCTCACAGCAAAGCAGGCACCCGAGGCCCAGGCATTGCTTCTCATGTGGGGGCCTGCCCGAAACGGCAGCGGTGCTTGTTTGGGATTCATCATGATGTGACTCCCAGACCCAACGCATTAGGCAGAATCTACTTCTGCCAAACCAGGAATGCGATTCCTCAACGGAACTCCATCGAGGCACTGTAAACTCTTTGGAAGCGGAACCTCTGGACTAGATCTCGTGTTGCAAGATGCCGCAGGTGCAATCTGAAGGGTTGGTCTTAGTCCGGATCCACGAAAAAATACCAACTCTTCAATCGGGTTCCTGGTATGAAGTGATATGATGCTGAATTAGATCCCACTGTCTGCTCCACCCGGCATCAAACATAAGCACACCGTCTGGAATACAAATAATTATGTATGCAACGCAGGTCTGCCAACTGAATCAGGTTAAGAAAAACATAGATAAGCAGATGTAGCATACGTGTGGTATGTTGCAAAAAGTAGCTATGATGGACCTTGGGCAGCCACAGGTACAACTTGCGGCCTTGCAACGCAACAACTGCCGGTCTCACACGGCTTGCAGCTGTGGGATTTGAAAGCTAAAGGATAGGGAAACGGCAAGACTACAAGTCCATCTGACCAATGTTGCCAGCGTGGGTTAGCCTTACAAACATTTTGGAAATTCTATGAAATTCTCATAATGCATTCTAACGACGCTTCACAGAAAAGTGAAGCAGTCAACGCGAGTATCTTGCCAGCGTAGTTTTCGCGGCATCGTTTAGAGTTACATAGTCAGACATAACTACACATTTTAGCATCCCATGCGCATCATCCGGCACGTGCGCAGCAACAACTTTGCAGCACCCGATCCCATACATAACAGATGCACTGGGCACGTATTGTTCCAATGCCGATTGCAACTAATAACATCTACAACGCACATACTTGTAACAGCAGTTGCGGGAACAAACCCTGCTGTTCTCACAAGAAGTACAAGAATGAACTGTCATGGAGCGACCCAGCTCGGGTCCGTGCGTCGTCAATGAGGCTGTTGGTCGTGACCTCGGGTGAATTCCGAATTCCACACGGCAAGACTGGTTGGAGTCAACGTCATCAACATACGATGCGCAAAGGAATCTCCAAAAAAAAAGCTGTCACTTTTTGAAACCAACCGTCCCGGAACCTTGCTTGACTAACAAGGCTGAATACTGACATAGCAGCCTGCGCGGTGCACCAGGATTCTACGTTTCTCGATGAAAGTTACTGTTAGAGTTGCTGTCAGCGTGGTTTGCCTCCTTTAGGGCGTGGTCCATGCCAAGGAACTTAATGCCTGGAATCCAATTTTTAGTCCTGGGACAAGCATAACCCCAAGCAATGACTCTGTCTTCCACTAGTGATGCTGATGCTGATGCAGAGGCGCCAGTTTTTCCTTCAAACGCTTTGCAGTTCACAGCTCAGCGAGGATGCGGGCCTTGAAAAGCCAGAGGATTAAACCTATTTCTCTCTGTGCACAGGCTTGCACAGCACGCAGGAAGCGCCTCCCACGATGAGAAACCATCCGGTGGCCTGAGGACATCACATAGGCGAATGCAGCCCGACTCCAAACTTCTTTAGGGCTCGACGGTCGAAGGGCCCACTCCTCTGGAGTGCCCAGCTCCTGACACACTCTAGGACTCTAGGCCATCACGATCTATCACGGAAAATTGCTCTTGTTCTTGGAGGCTGGACATGTCCAGTTGTGTTCCAATTGGGTCGTGGTTGCAAACTCAGCGCTAAAAGGTCTGACTTGAGCACATGGCAAACAACCGCATTGTAAGAGATTTCGGAACCTGCACACCTCCAACCGCAAACGCACACTTCGAACAATGAACCCTGAACACCTTATCTCTCGCATTATCTCGCCATGTTCAGCCCCCCAAAGAAAATTGAAGGCTGAAGTATCCCAATTCCTCACACCACCTGAAAAGCATTTTTCTACAGGGTGCGCGATCTCCAGCTTGCAAGTGGCACCGTTGTCCAGCTGAACCTCGGTGGGCTTCCGCTGCGCTTGGACTTGGGGAAGAAATTTGTATGGCAGGCTCATGCAGGCTGCAGCGGAAACACGTCAGTTGGAAAGCCAGGGCCAGAACAGTCCGAGCCAGGTCATGGGCGTATGCCACAGTGTACTCCTCGCAACAATTGCCAAGCCTAATCTCCAAACCCTTGATAGCAGCGAGCGCAGCCTCCCAAGAAGAATATCCATCTGGGGGCCTCTAGCCAAGACCACGGCAGACTGCGTCAGAAACTGTGATCAACCTTCGACCGAAAAAGCTCTCTGCTCGAGAGTGCGCTCACTAACCTACCATAATTGTGGAACTCGGAGGCTGAGGTTTTTTCGAGCCTCGCTCAACACACCCAAGGTCCCTGCAGACGGTTGACCCACTCGTGAAAGTCTTGGTCCTGACGTTGAATCTTCACTTTAGGGCACGCCGCGCGGAGGTTTACGAGGCTGTGAGCCTCCACTGACAACTTACCCCTGCACTTACGAGTTAAGCAACTTTTCTCAGAATCACAAGGCTCCCTGGTGGAACTTAGGTCACTGCGGTGCTGCCTGGCCACAGCTTGTGGAAGAAGCACTCCTGTCAGCAGGATTTGCTCTGCCACATGGGAAAGCACCAGAAGTAGGATGAAAGAATCTCATCTAACGCAGATTGTTCCCTGTTGAGGGGTTATCTTGGGACTTCGACATTGTCTAAAACTGAAGGTTTAGCACATACCCGGATTCCACCCAAGCACGTTGCAGCATTTCCCCGTGGCCTCCCACGATCGAAATCCTTCAGGTGGCCTCAATCGATGCAGCTAGTCAGAAGTTCTGCTGCATAAGGGTTTCAAAAAGGACTGTGTGAGCCGTTTGGGCCCTTTGTCTTGGAGGAGGGGGATCATACTTGTGAACTGAACTGCAGAAGCTTTGGTCAAAGGCCGTCTACACCGGCAACGATCAACATTAGTGCCTTTTGGGGGGTTGTGAACTATCCTTGTCCATTCCCTTCTATTCAGAGCAATTGCTTGAACTCTGCGATAGAGAGAAGTGTTGTCCATCCATATACTGGAACTGGAAACATGTGATTGTCTGGTAATGGTGGTGTTAGGGAATTGAAAGAAAGAGTCATCAATCTCATAGTGAGAAGGAGGTCTGTCTGAAGCAAAATGAATGATTCAGCGGAGGCTTCAGGCATAGCGGGCTCAGCCCAATGCAATCTGGGCATCCCCGCCCTGTTAGGGCCACAGTTGTACATATACTGCCCCGAGGGAATAAAAGGGACTCATACTCATGCAAACGCGCACTCAGTCCGTCTCTTTTTCCGTGGCTTGGCTCACGCCAGAAGGTTTCTCTGTAGCTCAGCGCTGGCTTTAAAAGATCGGCAATCCCGAAGGGTCGTAGGCCGATAGAACCAGCTGAAGAAAACCTCTTAGGGCTTTCGGAGAGCTCTTCCACTTCTCCTAGCAGCCACAACAGACTAGCGAAGCGTTGGTGCTGCCCTCTGCTATGCACGGAAATTTTGCAGCTGAAAAGGGTAAAGAGCTGAAGCGGCTTCAACTTTGTTGCGAGCTTGAGGAGTCAAAGCCGGCAGCACGCTCAAGGCCGCGACCTCCTGCAAGTAGCTTTCCAAGGTCGTCTGCTGCTTGATGCGCATCTGCCACATCAGGTTGGGGATGGACACGCCAGTGTTGCACAAGTCGACACAACCTCCGCCCCGAAGTCCACCAGGTGTCAGCCGCAGGGAGCGAGGTATGCCTAATGCCTGCAGCAACGCATCCCAGCGCCGCCGGAAGGTTGCTGGGCTCAAAGGAAACAGCGCAGTGTCTGGCCCGTCCTTCCGAAGCGCCTTCTCCAGAAACTTGACAAAAGCAGAGTCACGAACTGCGAAGTGCTGCACCTTACCTGTACCCCTGTGCTTGCTTTTGGGGTTCTCAACTCTAACGTAGCAGGCCTCGAAGTCGTAGTCCAGGACGTCGCTAGGCAGCAGTACCTGAGAGCGCCGAGCACGCAGAGGCTCTCCAATTCGAGCCGCCCCGAAAAAGGAGAGTCCAGCCACGACCACAAAGCGAACCCAGTTCCAGCTAAGAGCCAGCGACAGCATGGCCTTTGCAACGGCCAAAGGCACCGGTTCTCGGTGTGCAGTTGGTTGTAGGCGTTCCCAGCGGGTCGTCAAGTCCCAACAAAGCGGAAGGTAGGGTCGCAGCAGCAGTCTGTTCTTCTGATAATACGCGCAGAGGTGTCGCCATTTGTACAGCGGTTGACCAGACGAAAACAAATGGTTCCCATAACTTCTCAGCAGCGTGCAGAAAACCATGGCTGAGGCCTCTACATTGGCTAGCGCAGGGGGACTAAGGCCGGCGCTCAACCAGTCATAGAAGCCAGCCACCAACTTGCCCTGCAGCTCGCGAGTGCGTTCGCCAACTAAGGCAACCTCCTCTAAGTCCTCAACTACAGGTCCAGAGTTCTTAGCTTCCCCAATCCGTCGAGAACAGCTTCAGCAGATTGACGCCGCATCAACGGCATGCCTGTCACGCTTTGGCTTCAGCGTTTCCGCCAAAGCTCGAGCCAACAAGTGGTTCAAGGGCCGAGGATATGGTTCCGCAGCTTTGGTCATCATCATCCCAAGCGCCTTGCTGTATCCAGACAACCGGAGGTGGGGCACTTTGCAACAGCAAAGCAGCCTCTGGTTTTTGAGGCCCAGCGAGGTATATATCCTCGTCCTTTTCCTCCACCTGGCCCCGAACCGGCAGTAGTCTGTGACAAAAGGGCCGTGGTCCTGTCCAGCAGAAGCGGCGCCCTCCTCAAGGATGGACTCCCAAGCAGGTTGCTTCCAGAGAAACGATGTGTGAGGATTCTCCGTCCAGTGGTCGCAGCCAACCGTGATGGCCTCACGGACGCAGGCAGCCATGAACTTCGCATGCCCATTTCCTTGCTCAACTTTCTCCACCATTGTCGGCCGGCAGCCTGTGACGCCCTCTGGCTCCTCAGAGGACCTCACTGGCGGTCTGATGGCACGGCTCATCGAAGAGCACACTGGGCCTCCGCCAACCGCATAGAATGCCCCAATGAGGTGCAAGATGCGGCGCTGCAAAGCTGGGCACAAAAGGTTTTCATCAGCAGACCGCCGGAGTTCGAACGTTAACACCCAAACCCCAGTTAACCGAGCGGTAGCCCGAGCCACACCAAAAGACCCACTATAAAGGTCAACAAAACCTTTCCGAGTTCGGTCAGGAGGCAGGCCACCAGTCGTCACAAACTGGTAGTCTGGGAACTCAGAAAGGAGGTCGACGACGTCCTGTGGAAGCTCGGCATTCAGCTCGGCAGCCTGCCTACACACGGGGCCAACCTTCGGCGGTTCTCGGCCTTCGCGAACAGCTCGCATCCACGAGGACCTTTGCTTTGCCCGAGGCAGAGGCGTGTACTCGACGCCAACTAAGTCGGAGACGGGCGGCAGCCCGACAGCATCCTCAGGCAAAGACTTGTTCTTCTCCAGCCACTTGTCAGACTCCTCAAAGTCGCCGCTGAAGGCCTTGCTAAGCCATGCCGGCAAAGCAGACGAGGCAGTAGCTCGAACAGGCCGATCTCGAGTAGGGTCATCGGCTGCATTGAGGTCGCTTGGGTAGTAGAACACGTTCATCAACGAGCCGTATCCCAGGTGGGCCGGCAAGCTCTTCCGCAACTCCTTGTTCAGGGATCGGCTGCTGGACCTGCCCGTAAGGAGTGCACCAAGGGCAACCTGGCTATCCAAGGCAAGGTTGGCACGAGTGCAAGGGCATGATCGTACGTGACGGGCTTCTGCTCGCAAAGCGGACTGCAGTTCGGAAACATTTATGTGTTTCCCACGCTGGCAAGGCTTTCTCCAGACCGGCTCGTACTTCAGGACAGTCGCAAGCTCAATCCAAAGAGGATGACAGGTGTAAGAGCTGTCAGGGAGCTCCTCCTCGGGGTCAAGGAGACCCGCAGCACGCTGCGCTGCCTCAGTAGGCCGAAGCAGCTTGTTCCAGACCGGCTTGATCAGGCTGTGGCGGGCCAGTTCTTGCCCGAATGCTTCCCCGATCCAGCTGCGAACTTCAGCTTGCCAGTCAAGTGACGCATCAGTAGCTGACAACCAAGGCGACGGCTTTGTCCGCAAGTTGGCGGCAGCAATGGGCGCCAGCAGGGCACAAAGGAGCAGCTCGTCTTTCAGCGCAGGCGTCATTGTAAAGGCTTGCTGGCGAGGAAGTCCTTGGCCCTCGGTGTAGGTCAGCTCCATGCAGGACAAAAGCCTTCGACGAAAAGAGAAGACGGCAACATAGCAACCCGCCACCACTTCAAGAAGCCCGCGCGTGGCCATGCCAATGCGAACCAAGTCAAGAGTCAAGGAGATCAATGGCAGAGTGCGAGTCGGCAGCGCACGGACGTCACCAGAATTGCCATCGATCCTCGCCCTCCAAAAAGAAGCCTGCTCCTCCCCCTCAAAAGCTTTGTCGGGGTTCCGTGCAAGACCTGCCTCTGCATAGCTCTTTCGGATTGCCTTCAAGACGTCCGAGCTTCTGACACAACTAGATTCTGAAAGGCCCTCGCTCTCCAGCTCGGTTGTGGGTCTGCAAGCCGTTGTCTTCTCGAGGGTCTGTTGACTGCTACGGTCTGACTTGACAACGCCCTCGCTCCCGGCAACGGTTGTGGGTCTGCAAGCCGTGGTCTTCTCGATGGTCACCAAGTCGTCGATGCAAATCCCGGTCAAAAAGCTGCCCCGCGAAGGTCTGTTATCAAGACTCAACAGTTCTGACATGGAGACCAAGCCGGTCTTCAGCAGGAGCGCCACGTGCGACGTTTGACCATAGCTGACAGCGCTCCGGTCTCCCATCGCAAGGGTGCTCAAGGCCGCGTAGTAGCGACCATGCCCAGGCTCGACGCCCTCGAACCCAGTATAGGCTCTGGCTACGGCTTCGGGTAACGGTCCCGTCAAGACGTTCCTCAAAGAACGCTGCCGGCTCTCGAAGAATTAGTAGAAATCCTTCAAATCCTCCCCCCCAAACACCATGCGCTCACCTGGCAAAAGTTGAATGGAAAGCAAGGAGGTGAAGGTTGCCATGCTTCGGATCCACGCCCCAGTCAAGCTCTCTCTGAGGTTGGGGCAGCGGGCGTCGAGGATTAGGCGGTCTTTTTCTTGGCTCTTCACTAGGCCAAAGAGGCCATTGGTATAAGCAGGAAGAACATCCCGAGCAGGATGAAAAGTAAGCCTGCCCGTCTTGTCCAGGAGGTCCAGAACTTTCAGCTTTTCTTCACGGCTCGCTCTGAATCTCGGCCGAGGAAGCTTCTCCGAGACCTCCGAAGGATCCTTCATGAAAGCAAAGGGGTTCTCGTAGTGAGCTGCGGCTTCTAAGTCAAGGTGCGGCAAAGGGTTGAAGCTAGGTCGCCCGGTCAACTTCAAGCGGTGCGCCTCCAAATCCTTTGCCACAAACTCGGTCTCGCCCGATAGGAAGAGTCCTTGCAAGAACTCAGCGTCAGGCCCGGCTGCATAGGCTTCAGCAACTTCCGGCATCAAGTCCGGTCGCCCCCGACCCAAAGAAGCAGTCTCCCCAGGGAGCTGCTCTGACGAAGAAGTGCCGGGCAAAGGGCTTCCAGACCGCGCGCCGTCCAAGTCAGCTGCCTGCCTGCCATAGCTATCGCGCAGCAAACCAAACTTCGCCGCAATGTCCGAAAGGCAGTGGAGGCTGCCTTCTAGCGTCTCCACGCGGGCCGCAGCTCGGCCCATATCTTCAAATTTCACCGGTGGGTGGCGGGCGATAACTCGCACAACTGCTTCCAAGCGCCGGGCTACCCCTCGCTGCTCTCCAGTCAACGGCGTCCCAGCTGCCAGCCAGCCAGGGCAATGCGCCGGGGATCCCAAAGAAAGCCAAGACAACATGGCCACCACAAGGTTGACTGCTTGCTGCTCAGCCCGGCGAGTTCGAGAGGCCCGTCCTCTAGCTCTCCTCTTGTAGAGCTTAGGGTAAGGCAAAGGCATGGGGAACGCAGAGGCGGTCGCGGGAGCTCCCCGCGCAGGCGCTATCGAAACCAAGCCACGGAAAAAACTTGCAAAAGGGGCGGCCTCTCCAAGTAACCACCTTGGCAAAAAGGACCAGATGACCGAAGCATCAACTGTAGTGGCTCCAGCTCCTGGCACTCGCACAGCACGTCTGCCAGCACTAAAGGATTGAAGGCCCGTCAAAGGAGGCCTTGGGGAAGAAGGGCCCAACTGGCCGTCCCCACCAGTTTGCCGCTGCCTTTGCCCTTGGCAGGCGTTTTTGGTTTCTCGCCCTCGTCTCCGTCTTCGTCGGCTTGCGCCGTCTGCCCCGCCCCCCGCTTGCCAAGCTTCTTGCGGCGCTCGAGGTAGTCGTCGATGTCCTTGACCTGGCTCACGAGAGCGTCCACGGCCCGGCTGTCGAAGAGCCTCGTAAAGGGCAACTCGCTGCCTGTGAGGAGCTGCCTCCCGAAAAAACTCGCCATAGGGGCTGGCTCCTCGAGTAGCATCGGCTCGGCCAGGGTCCAGCTTCCTTTGTCCAGAGAAAGCTGCTCTATGGCAGCGAGCCCCACAAGGGCCCGAGCCAACACCTCGTCCTACTTCTGCTCTTGGAGGCTGTCGATGATGCCCGAGAGAATCCAGGCAAACTTGACCGTCGAAGGATAAGCTTGTACGCGGCTCCTCGTCTCGACCCATGCCCTTGCTGTGACAGGTACTCGGTCGCCTCCCGGCACAGCTCGACGCAAGCCAAAATCTTCTGCCATCCTGGCCAGAATGCCGTCGGACAGCTCCCTCGGCTTGTCCTGCAAAGCAGCCCGGAGAGCTCGCATGATCGCCACGTTCTTCTTCGAAGCTCCGGCCGCCGTCGAGGAATCTGCCGACCCAGACCCGTCTAAGCTGCAATCGAAGTGAGCTTGGTAATGGCCACGGCCAACTGATCCATGCCCGCCCCGGCTGGCTGCTCCGCTTCCGTCTCGTCTTCCTGCTCGGTCTCGTCGAGGATAGGGTCTTGCTTCTTCCGAGGCGTTGGCCGCACATCTCGGCTGCGCTCGGTGGTCCTGGGTCGGTTCTTGCCCACCAGCGCCGCCATCTCCTTCAAGTGGTCCTCGGGTATCCCCGCGGTACGTGCGGCCTGCACCACCGCTGGGTCCAAACCATCTAAGGCAGGAGGCTTCTCCTGTTCCGTTCGAGGCTTGGGTGGCCGAAGTGCAGACGGCCGCTTTGGGACAGCCGTTTCGGCCGCGGACACCCCTGAAGCTTGGGCCGGGAGCCTCGCTGCAATGTCGTCCAAGCTTGCCTTGACGGCCCCGAGGCATGACTCCAAGCTCGCCACTCTGGAGGTCAAATCCGCACCGCCAGCGTCAGAGCCAGGAGGGGCCGGCGCCACAGATTCAGGCAGATCAACGGCGCTCTGGCAAGCGTAGCGCTCCTCAGCAACGGCCTGCAAGTCAGGGGCGTACGGCGCCGAATCCTCCAGGCCTTCCCCGATGTCCTTGCCAAAGGGGCTGGTGATCTCGTAGTCGCCGTCTCCAGCAGCCCTGAGCTCAAGGAACAAGGGCCAATCAGAAGCCAGCTTAAAAATCCAAACCTTTGCAGTGACGTCCTCGATCTTCTCCTCTCGATTCTCGGGAGCGACCACAGCAACTTGATAAGACTTTGGGTATTGCAACGCGCCCGTCGGCAGGCGCCTGCGATCGGCTTGTCGATTCCAGGCAGCTCCGGGAAAAGCAACTATCACGGCTCCACCGTCCGCCTCCCCAATGAGCGCACCTGCAATCCACTCAGGCTCCCCTTCCGCCGCCCGTCGGCGAGCGACAACAAGAGGATAGTTGAAGTCCGGGCCTTCGTTGCGCACGACAAAGAGCTCGGCCCAGCCCGAAGGCTCGAGCTCTTGGGCTTCTCCCGGCTCAGGCATTCGGCCAAGTCAGGGAAGCGGACTCCTGCTACAAGCTGACCCTGATGCATCCAAGCCTAAAAAGCTGCGAGACAGCTTCGCACTTGTTCGCATGAAGAGACATGGGACTGAGGATGTCTGAGGCTATGTCCAAGGAGTGTACGGCGATATTGGGAGTCCAATTGTATTGGGTAGTAATAACTCTATGGCACGCAGCAAGATACTGGCTGGAGCAGTCCCCAGAAGAAGGATTAAGGACCCCATGATCAAAGCAGATTTGACCTTGCAGATTTGCCTGATAGATTTGAAATGAACGCCGTCTAGCCTGGTGAGCTGGGAAAGGGAAAGCTGGGCATTATCCATAGCGTACAGTGGAATAGACTGAACAATGGATTGACAAACAGTAAGTTTCCGTGACGGTGGGAGTCCTGGATGGCAAAGGAGTGGATGCAACAGTTTGGATGCGGAGACTGCTTGCGCAACTTTGCGGGAGGTATTGCGTCGGTTATTGCTAAGGGAGTCAAGATAAACCCCTAAATAATTAACCTCTTGAGAAAGCGGCACTGCCAATTGAGGGACTTGACTTCCAGAACAGTACGAACACAGTACGAACATCCACAGGGCGAATCAGGAGTCGCTGAATAAAGAATACGCACGTTTATCCAAGTTAAATTGCAGACCTCTAACAGAGAGGCGTCATGTTGAATGCGGTGAAGAAGTGTAGAACACTGCTGAGCCGAATTCGAAACGAGCACTGTGTCATTGGCGTATTCTACATCCTAAAGCGGGGAGTTGCTGTGAATGACCCCAGAGAGCAAGCCATACTCTGATGAGTAGGAGGATTCTACATCGAAGAAGAGATGAGTGAGAATGAAGTCGAACAAATATGGTGATAGTGGGTAGCCCTGTCTAAGACCTCTCGAGCATAGCTCCACAGTGAAAAGCCTTCACACAGCTCTCCGTTCCCAAGCTGCCAACGGACACATGTCCCAATCGTTCTCATAGCGAGCCTCCCAGCTAAGCGTTCAGGATCTGGAGCTTTGGGTTCAGGATTGCATTCTGAGGTCCTGCAAAGATCCCTGAGTCGCGCCCAACTGGATACATGTTTTCCTGCGGCATCAGAGGCAATGGCACCACCACCGCCGCCATCGCCGCCACCAGCACCACCACCACCGCCGCTACCACCACCACCGCCACCACCACCACCGCCGCCGCCGCCGCCGCCACCACTGCCACGCCAGCAATGAAACACTTGAACTGCTCCCATGATCTCATGAGGCGGTGCTAGGATGAGGGATGGAAGGCTCTTGGGTGCATCGTGTGTGCTTTCGTCCACGCCTTTGACTAAAGCTGTTGAAGGTTCAGAGATCCTTTGAAACCTTGGGTCCCGAACAAGTGCCTTTCACCTGCGAAATCGATAGAAATCGGGCAACACCCTCGGGTTGCTGCCGCAGGCCATGGCCCTGTATTAGCCATGGAGTGGAGGCCAACGCCGCCGACCTGCATCATTGGACCTCCGTTTCTGTAAGGGGGCCTTCTGCACCCCACCCCCAAACCAAGTTCAAATTTACCTGCGTTCCGAAAGCAAGTCCCATGGCACGGAGTGATTTTTGAAGGATTTTTGGGTCCTTCTGGGTCCTCCGGGACCCCCAAAAAAGCATCACGAGCACGGACGTTTTTGAAAACCAGACCCAAGGCCTATCTGGGCCGGGGCACAAATTTTTGCAGGTTGGAGGGAGTACCGAAAAACCCTGCATCATCAGCATTATTGGGGCTCCGTTTCACCAATTTGGAGGTATCAGGCTGCAGGCTGCAATTTTTTGCATTTCTATGATGGCTCTTGGCTGGCACCAGGAGGGGTCAAACTAAAAAGGACCACATCTGGCCCAAACCCATGGTTTTGGGCCCAGAACCATGGGTTTGGAGCAGATGTGGTCATTTTTCGTTTGACGCCTCCTGGTGCCAGCCAAGAGCCATCATAAAGCACACAAAAAAACAAAATGGCTGCAGCCTGATAAACGGCTGCAGCCTGATACCTCCAAATTGGTGAAACGGAGCCCCAATGATGCTGATGATGCTGGCCCAGTGGACACAGACAGCCCAGAAGCCTGGCAAGAGGAAACGGGACCCCAATGATGCTGATGATGCTGACCAAGGGGGGCCAGCATCATCAGCATCATTGGGAGTCCATTTCTCCATTTTTGGCCTTCCATGCGCCCAATGAGACCCCTCATTAGTGCTAGTCGTTTCTCAGCCGTACCCCAAGAGGGGCCTTGGGGCTAGTTTTCAAAACGGCCCATGCTCATGATGCAGATTTGGGTGGTTCTGGGGGGTGCCGTGGGGATTCGCTGTTGGAGCGCATGCGAATTTTGGTGTGCTCATGGAGAGAGGTCCGGGAGAGGCACTGGGAGAAACAGAGGCCTTGGGGGGTCGGCGCAGGCGCCACCCCCTGTACAGCTAAAGCTCTAGACACCGGCTCCGCCCTGGACCATGGCGGCAGGGCCGGATTGAAGGGGCTGCGCCCAGGGGCGGGCAACGCAGGCAGCATGAAGAGGACTCAACCCATTTTCTCGGGTTCCCAAAACACCCAGAATGACCACATCTGACCCAAACCCAGGCACATCTGCCCCAAACCCCAGAACCATGGGTTTGGGCCAGATGTGGTCATTTTTAGTTTGCCCCTCCTGGTACCAGCCAAAAGCCATCATAAAACACACTAAAAACAAAATGGCTGCAACCTGATACCTCGAAATTGGTGAAGCGGAGCCCCCATGATGCTGGCCAAGGGGGCCAGCATCATCAGCATCATTGGGGGCTTGTTTCTCCAATCTGAGGTCTTCCGGTATCCTGTCCGACCTGCACAAATTAACGCCCAGGCTTAGATGAGCCTGGGAGGCTAGTTTTCAAAAACCTTCGTGCTCATGATGCAGATTTTGGGGGGTTTGGGGACCCCAACAATCACTCAAAAATCCTTCCGTGCCGTGGGGATTTGTTGCGGGAACCCGTGCAAATTTTGGCTTGGTTTTGGAATGGGGGTCCGGGGGGGCCCCTTGGAGAAACGGAGGTCCAATATGGTCCAATGATGCAGGGTCGGCGGCATTGACCTCCGCCCCATGGCTCAAGCCAGGGCCATGGCCTGCGGGAGCAAACCCCAGGGCGTTGCCCCATTCAAGGGTTTGCGTCGCTGCCGCCGACCCCGGCATGGAGGCACCAAAAAGCATGAAGCTGTACATTGCCCACCACTTGTGATATCGCGAATTATTCGGACTGACGCAGTTCTCAGCTGCTGGAGGTGTCACAGCAGCATGTCGAAGGCTAGGGTTGGGGTCCAGGACTCAAGGAATCCCCTGCCGGGGTGGGATGGCCTGCTGGGTGGGAGGCCCGAAAAGGTCCAGAAACTGTTTGGATCCGGGGGCCGTGGGGGTCAGGGCGCTGGTCCTGTGGGGACGGGGGTCACGCACATCAAGCCCCCTCCTCCCAATGGCTAAGGCCCTCGCTGCGACAATTCTATTCTCAAAACAGTTGGGTGGGAAAGGGAGAGGATAAGAGACAAGGATGAACATTTGGAAGGAAGACAAAGAAATTAGGGGGGGCTCATGCCCGTTGCTGTGACAGTTGTGAATCCGCTGGATGGAACACAGAAGTTGGGCTTCACTGTGGGCTCGGGGGTCGGCGGATACCTACGTCCCTACCCATCATGCATGATGCGTGCATCCATGCAGGAGGCATAGACGGGGGAGGAGGGCTGTGAAGTCATCTGCGCTTTGAGGCTAAAATGGCTTCTGAAGCTTGATTAAAGAGAGAGGGTAGCACCTGGAAACCTCCATCCTCCTGGGGTTGTTCCCTGCAGCCTGACGTGACTGGACCTGCACCACCCTCATCCACCTTCAAGCTTTCCTGTGCACAGGAAAGCCGACCTGGGGTACTCTGGAAGCGCCGGCACAAAGGGAAGTCTTCGTGCAGCATCCGGCCGCTCAGATCCATCACGAGAGCATTGTGAGATTGTTGGTGAGCATTCATGCAAGAGGAGATTTAGGATTCAGCCCGCTGAGGTTTACGGAGAAGTCAAGGTGAGGGAGAACTTTGAGGAGACTCAGCGCCTCAGACGTGAGTCCACGCAGATGGCTCATCCCGTCTTGAATGGACTGGACAAAAACAGAGGAGTCATGCTTTTCGCTGCAACCCTCAGGTGGTGGGCGAGGGATGAGCGTTACTTCATGGACCAGTCCAAAGTGTCAAGGAACCAGGCCTGACAGGAGCTACGGGAGGGACCTATACAGGAATGTATAGGGGTGTAGGGGGACCTGTAAGGGATATTCTAAGACTTTAGTCCATGGCTCACATCACGCGAACGATGAGCTTTCTCTGACTGGCAAATTACGCTTGTTTTGGCGCAGTTGCTGATCAATGAGCCAACTGCGAAGCTGTCTGGCAGCGTGATCTGAGGCAAGCCTGTTAGAGCTGGCCCGCTGAACTTTAAAGCGATATGCGCCATACTCTAAACTCCTTAAAGGGGGTTATATAGGGGACTACTATGGGGTTCACTAAGTTGGATACTAGGAGTTTTGACTATAGCTCATATGACTCCTACAGTAACTGCCGCATGGCATGACTTACCAATGCTTTCTCATCGGTTTCTTCCATCAAAGACTTGACACCTGCTCTGGCAGCGGTGGCTCAGAATTCAAGGAGCCCTTGAAGATTGCGTCCAGAAGTCAGACCACGTGAGACCGTGTTTCGCCTCGAAGTGGGGCATCAGCCCTAGCAGAAAAGAGCGTGACTGCGCACCATTTGGCCAGGGCTTGTTCAACACCAACTGTCCTGAGACCTGGCGGCTCGCCACTTGAGTGGCACCCAAGATTGGGATACTGTAGTTCCTGATGGGCAGGAAGACTCTATTCTCCTTTCGGTTATGGCATTTCGTAGCAAAGGCAGCCTTACCTGGTCCAACCGCCAAACAAGAGTACTCACTTGAATTTGAACTGCACGTCATCTTGACGAGACGATCTTGCGTTGTGGTTCAAGTGCCCGAATCCTTCGTGCTTCACCGATTTATTGGAGCATGTCTTTTAATTGGAGGGGCCAGAAAAGAAAATATAATCTTCTTTGGCGTCAAACAGGAGGCGCTTCTGAGCAAGTCTGCGTGATGCGGTCATGAGGGCATGGCATGGCTCTGCGCCGCGTGCTCAGCCTAGGTCAAGGGGTCGAAGCCTGGGCCTGTGAGTGAGGAGGTTCGCTGATTTCTTTGTGAGGTACGATGTGGCAGGGCAGCCTTTCTTCACTGCACAGGTGCCTCTGGCTGCACCAGAGCTTCGTAGCTTCGTGGGGCAACTTTTATAAACATGGTCTGCCAAGGCGCTTGTCAGGGACAAGTGAGAAGGCAGGCACGAGACCTGTGGCCTGTCATGTGACAAACATGGTGCATTCTGCGCTGAGGTTCGGGTGGGACCCGGCCCCTTCATCTCCGCCCTGTTTGAATGCGTGCCCCCGTCCTGTTGTAGAGACGGAGCACTGTTGGACTGCAGTTGATGCAATACTGCCTGCAGGACAAAGCATCCCAGTGGATTTGGGTGTGTGACTCAGGACAAAGTCAGCAACATGGCAAATGACTCCAGCAGAAAGGTTTATGCAACTGATGCACTTCAGGCCGTGCAGCTGCTGTCGATGATGCGTCGCAGATCCTTCCGAGTTTCCCTGGCCTCAACCTTGGCACCTGCCTGCAGGCTTGGTCTGCCAAGAAGCGAACGAATGACTGGATGGGTCCAGCAATCGTAAGAAATGGGAATGCGGAAGTGCAGATTCTGTCAACAGAATTTGACCTTGGCCAATGCACTGATTTCATCTACAAGCCTACAGCAAGGTGTAGATTCATCAATACTGTAGATTACACACTTGAGCTTTGTAGCGAAAGCACGGGCATGCCGGGAAGATGGGCAGACTGCGAATTGCTCGGTCAGAACCTGCGCTGCCCCTCAAAGGTCAGCAGCTCAGAGAGCTGTCGTTAAAATCCTTTACTTTTCTTGCCAGACCTTATTAGCCTGACACAATGCCAGCCCAGGTTGACGGTTGGACTTTGCAGAAGCGGACGGTGTCGGCAACACCATTTCTAGCCGACATTGCAAGGCAGTCCCAGGCTGGTTTCTTGAGGTGCTTAATTTGGTGTCTTGCTCGGCACAGCATGACGACATCACTGTCACAAAAACACGTAGTTTGATGGAGAGGCGCTCGTCAGGAGGAATGCTGCGTTTCTTGACGTCTATGCAGAGATGCAGGCAAGACCGGATGGAATAGATCCTCGGTCGACAAGCTCTCATAAGCATTTGCCAACCAGGTTGGAAGCGCTTTCCAGCGCAGACGAAGTTCCGCAAGTACATCGTTCGAAGAAGAGGACCGCGAATCCTGTACTTGCTACTTGACATACACCATCAGCAAGCGCAGCTAAAAGCTGTCTTGCTACAGTGGATGGTCTGTCATCACGCTCGGCCTCGCTCTTGCATGCTGCAACATGGAGTGGGTGTTGGTCCTTGTCATTAGGAGGAGGAAGAGAAGACCTACTGGAAAGTTGACTGTGACACTGGCAAAGTGCAGCTTGGCGACAGCTACTTCGTGCTAGACTCTCTACATGTGTGAAAGCATGCTGGTGAACCTAGGAAGGGTTTCAAATACTCTGATGCACAAGCAGCACCATTAAGCGCACCGAGCAGCACCGGGGGACCGCCGAAGCTACCACCCTGCTTGCCAGGCAGGTTGTGGGTAAGAAGGGAAAATCGTTTCTTCTGCCACGATCTCTTTCTACACAGGCGACAATCCTTTCTGCGGTCCGGATGATGATGACAATCTCATTTGCAATCCGCCGCCGCCTCCACCGCCGCCACCTCCACCTCCACTTCAGCCTGGACAAGAGCAGGAAGAGGGAGAAATGGGAGAACAAGGCAGGAGCTGTCTGGAAGATTTTGCCTGTCGGGAGCCGTGGGGAGGCTAACCCCCGGAGGCCTTGGACTTCTGAGCGCGTCAAAGCCAGAAGATCAAAGCATCAAGCCGGAAGGCCGCTGCGCTTTGCATGCCTGTTTCCTGACCTCCATGAGTAGTATTGAGTTGTCTCCTGTGGGACTTGCCAGGGGGAAGTGAACAACCAGCCGAACCTGGCCAAATGGAAGGTGCATTCTCACGGCAGGTTTGTTTGTGTCTTGCCTTGTATGGACGAATAATCAGGTTCAGAGGCGGAACAATCCTCTGAGTCCAGTGGCACTGCTGTCGCTGCTGGCGCTGCTGGCGCTGCTGGCGCTGCTGGCGATGCTGGCGATGCTGGCGATGTTGGCGATGTTGGATCTAGCGTTCCCAAGACGCCGCCTCCGCTGCTGCCACGGATGAAGTGTTTGCCTGGACAGGCGCAAGTTGGTGTGGCAAGCACAAGCTGCAGCTTCTGAGTCATGTCCTTCCCGGCACAGGAAATACCTCTGCCAAAGGAGCCGTGCCAGATCAAGCAGGGACTTTGCTGCCACAAGTGCCAGACGAGGGCGGATTGCAAGCTCTGCTTGGAGTGGAAGGCAAGGACTGCAGTTGCGACTGCCGTCAGAATTGTCAGAACACCCGAATTTTGGGAAGGAGGTGCTGGGTCAAATTCCGGTGGACATTGACCGCAAGGCCGGATGAACAAACTTTGCTCTGCCGCGAGGGCGCACATGAAAAGACCACGCTTAGCGGCAGACCATGTGAAGAGTTTTCAAGGCTTGGGCCGAGAATATTTGCCCTCCTCCAAAATCTCCGCAAGAGGGCGATGATTCTGACACTTGCCTGGACAGTCTGGTCTGGACTCACTTTCTGGAACGTAATGATGAAAACGAGTTTACCACGCTTTTCTCAGGACTTGCAGAAGGACTATTTGTTGGCTGAGGAGGAGGACAACGGTTCAAGTGGTCCCTCCAATTTCAACGTCGACAACTTGTGAGTGCCTTGATGGTTTTTCCTGTGAGTGGCCTTGAAGAGGGCCTTGCGAAGCCGCGCTTGGCTTCAAGATAACGAAATTTGCAGAGACTACCCGATTGGTGGGAAATCTGCTGGTTAACGCCCTGCCGTTTCAGCACGTTTCTGATGCTGGAGACGGTCCAAAACAAGTGCTTTATTTAGCAGAGAGGATGTAAGCATGTGATGGGTTACTGATGAGGCACTCAGGAGGGATTCCCTGCAATCAGCATAGCTATAGTTGCAAGGTTCCCCTCGGAGGGGTGGCGTCAGCCTGTGGCAAGAATGTGCAGTGGCAGCATTCGCCTGCAGCTGAGAAATACTTGATCTTGCTAGCTGGTAGTATGTAGGCTGGAAGGCACTCACGATTAAGGAGAGTTCGTCTCAGCTCAACAACTGCCCAGGCTGAGCGTGTTGTCAGCAACTGCAAAGCATGGGCCCACACCGGATGTGCTTGCCTGAGACACGACAAAGTTGCACAATGATTCGATGTGCCAAAACATCTTGCAGCAGTGGCGTGTCCGAATATCATCAGTGTGTGCCCCCATTGCTTGCCTGCAGCTGTTGAGAACCTCGACCCAGGTCTTATCCGCACAAGCTCTAGCTACAGCAACACAAGGGTTTAAACATGTTTAAGATAGGACGGCAACGATGGTCAACACACATCAATAAATCCAAACAAGTACTGCTACATGAGGTACGCACACCACACACAGACTTGCATGTTGAGGTAGAGACCGGCAGGTATCATGGGGCCTTCTAGTTGCACATTGATGCCTGTCACCAGCTCGTAGCTGCTATCCGAATGTGGGCCATCCATTGCCTACATTCTCGCGAAAGGTGACCTTCAGGCGACGCTAATATGATGCCTCTCTTGAAGCATGTTTTTGTGGTGCGTTTCTTCGCTGCTGTAGACAGGGCATTCGTGTTTGTGCCTGAAGTGGGTCCTCACCTGGCAGGGCTCATGGAGGGCGAAGACCAGTCATGGCCGATCCCACAGGAGGCGGCCCCGCTGAAGGCGCGACTGCCATTTACCACGAAAGTTAACTTGCTGGCTTGAGTTCTCTCTTGCTTTAGCAGTACGTGGCAGACAAGATCTGGAAAACCTCCACCTATTGAGTACACCACAGGATGTGGGGGAGGAGGGGCAGTAATAATTCTTCCATGGGAATCTGAGGGTTTTGGAGGGGGGCCTGGGAGGCCCACCTGAACAGTTCAAAAACAAGGTTGCACCGCTTCGCTTCAAGCCTCGGGACAGGAACCCCAGCCTCCGGAGCGCGACAATATCGATGATCACTGCGATCATCACACTTGGTTATTGCATCAAACCTCTCTATTCGTTTGACAGTGTTCCGTACCATTTTATGGTCATGCCCCTATGTTCAGGGGACTAATGACGTCGGTTCTGGCGGTCACAAAGATTGCGAGATCATGACACTTTTAGAACCAGTCTCACAGATCATGCAGTCGGGTCTGCACCATGGTCAGATCATGTTGAATCATAAGCAGTGTCAGATTTGAGTCATGATCCTCGTTCCAGGTGGCGCCTCCTGAGATGTGCCTTGGCTTGAGAACCTGACCTTGTTCTTCCAGCGGAATGGTTCAAGTACCTAGAGACTTGACACTGCGCCCGCCCAGGTTCGCGCACATGTTTGAAGAAAGATTTGTGGTGCCTCGGCTCAAAGAATGGTGGGCAGGTTGAAAGTTGAAAGGGCCGCATCGTCTATGGAGCCACCGGAGTACAGTAAGATACCGTTTGGGGCCTTGTGGGCTGAGCTAAGGACCAGAGAAGACGGCAGCTTTCACAGGCATTGCTTGCACCCATTGCACTGTGTAAAAGTTCGGATGGATGTTAGCCCCGGACAGGTGAACCTTATTGCCGAGAGCGATGCCACCGGGCTGAATCTGGGAACCCCCCTCGCCACAGCCGTGTTGCTCGCAGCCATGTGCTCCTTTAGACCAGAGAACCCATAAGTAGACTCAGTAGACCTTGATGAGCAATTCAAGCTGGTTGGTGCAGCTGGCGGTTGCCGCCAGGTACATGGCTTATGTGTTGTCTGTGATGTCGCAGCTTGGGAAGACGACTCCTACTGGACCTGCAGCACCCTACGAATTGGGAACGCGGCAACTTGCAGACATCCAGTGGCTCGTAAACAAAAGAAATCGCTGAGTCTAGCTCCATGCGAGCCTACAAGATCATTTAAGCATACGAGGTGGGGAAGCGCTGCGGGGAACTCAGACATATACTCGTACCAAATTTGTAAATGATGGTAGTGGTAGGCCCCTTTCGAGAGCTGTGTAGCCAGGTCCTTGTGACATGTGCCTATTGCTTCCTGGTTTTCATTGGAGTACGGTGGATGGAGCGCCGGCCGCCCGTGAGATCTGCAGCCAGCTTGCATATTCAACACTTGGAGGCTAACGGCTTCTCCGCATTAGAAGAGCTGCAGTTCTGCAGGATGCTTTTCCAAGGTAATTTTTGAGCTCATGGCGGTGTTCAACGTCATGCAGGTGCTGATGAATGTTTACGAGATTGGAGCGATCGTTTACGATGCGGCAAGTTCGGACTTCCGCTTAGACACTCTGCTGGGCACTCAGTCCAAAGCATATGAGCCGCATTCCAGCTGGATTGGGAGTGTTGCACGCAAGCTGCTGCAAGGCCAAAGAATGTTGCAGAGCCGCTAATTTGGTTGCAATACCACTGCAGACAGCTTGAGCTGCTGGACACGCTCCAAAGTTGCACAAACCAGGTCAGGCATTTGGCTAGCTAATGCTGTGAGCGTGGCATCTCTGTAGGGAAGCCTTGATGTCCAAGGTTTTTCATGATACTTCGAAAAAAGTTTTCAGATGTGTCGCTCTTCCACATGTACTACCGTGTGCTCAACATGTCACTCGACGCACACAAACCAATGGCTCATGCCCTTGCCTTGTTAAGAAGAAGTCACCCAGATGTCGCCTGTAAGCACTTCTCCGCTTGAGGTGGGGTTGGTTCTTTGGATTTCACTATGCATGCGTGGGGCCAACTCTAGTGCCTGCGCTGGTGACCTCAATCGCCCAGACGTTACAGCTGCTTGTTTGCAGAAAGCCTTCTACAGGGCCAGTGGCAGCGCACAGACGCTTCCAGCAGTCTTGGAGGTACACGTCATTCAGCATGGCGCTTTTTGGCATGCGCACGCTGCCAGTCTTTCGAAAGGCACGCGTGAGACATAAGCCATCTTAGTACTGGCTGCGAGAGCTGCGAGGTTGACCTTAAGTGGTCAGGATGAATTCATGTTTTTATCATCACAGCAGCAGTCTTGTCCATCCTGTCCGTGAAGTGAAAGGCTGAGTCATGCCACAAACTGCGGAGATTTGCCTCTCTGACAATCTTGCTGAGCATCCGCATAACCTCCAAAGCTCCAACAGATTCAGAACACCCGAAACCCGGAAAACCTCAAACCGTTCGCCTCATGCCAGTTTTCCGTCTTGCCGATCTACTTTGGAAAGGTAAGATCCAGAGTTGGACAGGCATGACGGGGCTGCCTGTCAGGGTATCAGGGGCCACGGCAGCGGAGTTGATGGTACAATGTCTGCCAGCGGCTAGCGCGAAGCCTTTTGTTTTGCAGCACAGGCTTTTTGGAGAAAGGACGCCTGCCAGTTCACGCTGTTTGTCACTCTTGAAAGCGGTTGAAGGCAGAATCTTGCAAAAAGGGCTCAGGCTGAGAACTGGGCAGAAACTTTTCGCAAGTTCGAGTTCTTGACGATTCCCATGGTGTAAACTCCCTGCTCCGCATCGTGGCGGTGTTGTGTTGTCTTCGAGTGACTGCGATAGCCCGACCGGATCTTTTTTTGAGTCCCTGGAAGTAATCTGAAGCTGTGAGGATAGGGTTTGGAATTTTGGTTCTCTTCTTAATCAGGTTAATAGCGCCTTGCAAGCTTGCCGGTTCCTCCAGCTGATGGGTGGTGGAATGCAGCGCTGAAGTTAGTTCCCGCTCTCAGCTAATACTTTTGGAATTTTGTTGCAAGCCGCGGCGCTTGATGAAGCAGCCCATGGGCTGCTAATGTTATGGTGGACATCGCTATTGTCTTTACTTTCGATTGCATTCTGTTGTGTTGTTATCATTGCCATTACTCATTCAGCTATTGCAGATCTTCAAAAGTTGAGCAGTCGCATTGACTTTTCTCACATTTTGACACCAAATTGAGCTCTGGCGCGGAGTGTCCATCCTGAAATTTCGGCTCAACAATTGAGTTCTCTTGTGGAGCTGGCCCAACCCCCCTCAGCCAAAAAGCAAGTCACCCCCAAATAAAAAGTCAACCAAAAAACTACATCCATTTTAAGTCTGCGAAAGATCGAAATTCCAGAGCACCGAAAGCTCGAAGCACAACCGTTAGAATTAGAAATCCTACTCCAAAGCTAGAACATTTCCTGAAGCCCTACAGTTTAGAACCAGCCGCCCACCCTAATCAGCCAAAAGCCCTCAAGCTATCTCAACCTTAAAACTTGGAAGCCTTGAACCCCAACCCTTCAAAACCCTGAGGACTGTCATGGTGTTTGGGCAAACGTTGGCAACCCGTTTTTTTTGCCACATGAATGTTTGAATCCGGGTCATCAAGAACATGGCTCTTCGATGTGGGGTTTAAAACCTGGGTGGGGGTAACAGCGGTTATCATCGTAGCCACATTCATGGTCCTAGTCGTAGTCGCATTCGTAGCCGTGGCCGCAAGAAAACTTAGCAGGACAAGCCAGGAAGAGAAACAGGAAGTGAAGTAATTGCATGCAGTATAGGGTTGCGGTGACAGCGGCTAGCTGTCGTACCAAAAAAGATTTGTGTGCTTGGTGGGTCAGGCGCCCATTGCAGAGCTTCAGATTGCATCGTCCGTCATATGTGTCCTTCACAACCTGCCGCGTCCTGAGAATGTAGGCAGCCATGGGACTGCAAAGGCGCTGATGTTCAGGACCAGCATTGCCATAATGCAGCGCAGTCGGTCGAACTTCCTAGCTTGGTCTTGGCCCGAGCTGTGAGACAACGCTGAGGTTCATGGCCGTGACGGGGCGATTGCCCATTGGCTTGGCAATGCTCCATGTCTTTGCTGCGCAGCTGAATTAATCGCGGACTTGTCAAGCTATGCAGCTACACGCGCAACGCTGCTTCTGCATATTTCGGACGCGAAGCACGCAGTAAGTGAGTCTCGCTGGACTCACGAATTCAGACTCGTCCTGAGCTGTCGCGTCCTAGTTGTACGGCTTCAGGCTGTTGCCGATGGTGAGCCTTTATGGTGTTGCATTGCTGCCTTTGGAAATCAGGTCCTGCTCAATGGCGTGGTGTTGTACACGGACTGGTGTCGTTGGTACTAGCAAATGCATTCCTGCATTCACATGCTGTGGTGTGTTGACGCTGATGCGAAGGATTTCCACTTTCGGGAGACTCATCCACTGAGAGCCAGTGGGCTGCAAGACGGAAAGATTCTAACACAAATGCTCTCGAACCTAGTAGCATTGCCGAGCATCAGGAGAGGTGGTTATTTTGTCCCTGCCCTGCCCAGGAAGCAGTGAAGCCCGGTGCTCCCTCAGAGCGGGTCACTTTCTCCTTCGACTCTGCTGGGTGGCTGTACGTTTATCAGCTACCTGTCCTGCACAAAGCCGGGAAGCTTGGCGTGCTACCTCTAGGACTGCACGATAGTGTTCGCGGAAGCAAGGTTTGGCGTCGCTGCCTTTTTGCAGGTGCCTGGCACAAGCAAGTCATGCTCAGACTGTGTGACTGTGCTGTTTCTTTGTGTTTGTTTCCCTGTGCAGCTGGTTGACATGGCATGAGTGGCTCAGTGGCTCACGTTTGAGGAGCACCTGATGCCTGCACCTGGCAGCACCCCTGATCCCAGCCACTATCCGGATGGCCTCGGCTTCAGCGGTTCGCAGCTTGCCAGGTGAAGACTCGTAAAGTCGTAAAGGAGAGAGACGCAAATAGAACCAGCAATTTTTTCAGAGCCCTTAAGGAGTGCTGGAGCTCTCACGGCGCTGCTTCTCGCCTCTGGGACCTCTGTTCCAGACGTTTTCGAGCATGTCTTGGCACAGTGCTTCAGCTGCATGAGTAACAAGCATATGAGGAGCTCCTTGGCAGACAGAGGTCACGAAACCATTTATCTCAAGTTGTTAGGGCAACACGTAATGCCTCGTCAAGTGTGCCAAGAGAGAGGGTTGCAGCTCATTCACATTTCCGCCCGTAGTTTGATTTTCCGAATGGCACGCTGCCTTGACCTTCACGGACGAAATCCGACGATCACGAAGGCATGCCTCCGTGGCCTAAGTTAGTCTCTTGCGACAGCTTGCAACTGGCGTGTGGTGTCCTTGGCTCTGGGAGGCTGTAGGCTGTAAGCTGGCTCCACTGGTGATGCATTGGATGTCAGGGAGCAGCTCCCTGGACTCCCGTTCCCACGCAAAGTCTTCCTCAGCTGCAAGTATGGCCATGCTGCCTGATCATGCAAGTTGTCAGTCTTCAACTTAAACAATGAAAGGGTGTCTTCATAGCGGGTGAGAAGCGCTCTGCTGTCATTCGGGCACAAATGCAGGGCAGAATGTGCAGCCACCGTACACGCGGCAGTTTTGATTCAATACGTTCCCCTATCTCAACGCATCCAAACCTTTCCAGTCAGGAGCAAGGTTTGGTTGGACGGCACAAGCGGTAGCAGGTGAGGGTTTCGGGCTGGTTGCTCTCTGAACCCTGCTCCCTGACAGCCACAACCCGAAAACCGCAAGCAAATTTCACCGCGAGCCTGTGGCTTCTCAAGCTTTTTTTCTCAACACCTTTTACTGGAGAAACACGTCTGAGCGCTTGCTGGCCGAGGCGGATTTCCGCTTTTGCTATCAGCGTTTGTCCCTCCATGCTTGCTCCATTCTCACAGCTTGAAGTGCAGTCTTACCATGTCTTACCTGCCACTGTACAGCTGCTGCTTCGTGAGCAGACCTCGAGCTACGCTGCCCAGGTACAAGATCTGTCGCAGGCAGCCATGGAAAATGCCGGTCTGTGCGGAAGAAGCCTTGCGACAGTGTCCTGCCTTTTTCAATTGTTCCATGCTCTCATTTGCTTGTTTCCGCAAGAAGCCATCAGGTATCAATTTCCCGGCGCCCACAAGATCATCACCGGAAGGCCCGGGAACATCTTGAGATTCGACTTCAGCAGATTGACAAATATATGTTTATATATATATATATATACATGCTACCCCCCAAAACCAGCCTTTTATAGAATTTTATATGGATTTCGCAGTGCTAGCTTAGGCTAAATGCTACCCCCCCAAAAACCCACGTTTGGGGTATTAAGCCAGTGTTGCAACATCATAAAGGCAAATCATTTCAATAAAGGATCTTTGTAGGAGACTATAAGGAGCCTATAATCACAGAAATTTACTGTAAATTCGCAACAACTTTCACAAGGGCTTTAAATAAGGAAAAGCAAGGCCAAAGATTTGAGACGACGTCCTTAAAATTGAGACGCAGGCAATACGTATCGGACACCTATTTTAACTATTATCCATCTATATATATATATATGAAAAACTATTGAGTGTATTAAGGTAATGTCGATTTCTATACCAAAAAAAGAACCTTTGGAGACTGGGGAGAAGGAGTATACCAAATATTAGATACCCTCATATTAAGTGCCACTGGCAGAACCAAACCTTTATGTCTACGAATGGAATAGAATTCTCCCTTTTTCTCTTGCCCAAAATAAAGATAAGAGAGAGAGATACAATTAGCTTGAGAGAGGTGGAAGCTCCAGTTCCTTGCAGGTATTTCTTTTGGGAGAAGGAGCTTACCAAATATTAAGTACCCTCATCTTAAATGCCCTCACTCATATTGTAGCGAATCAGGTAGAACCACTGGCAGAAGCATACCTTTATTCCTATGAAAAGAAGAGTTCTCTCTTTTCCACAATAAATATGCAAGAGAGATGCAATGGACTTGAGAGAGGTGGAAGCTCCAGTTCTTTGCCGGTATTTCGTTTGGCAGAAGGAGCATGCCAAATACTAGATACCATCATTTTAAATGCCACAGCAGAACCAAACCTTTATTCCTATGAAGAGAAGAGTTCTCTGTTTTCCACAATAAAGATAAGAGAGAGAGAGAGCGAGTAACGAAAGAAAGAAAGAAAGAGATACAATTGACTTGAGAGAAGTGGAAGCTCCAGTTCCTTGCAGGTATTCCTTTTTGGAGAAGGAGCATACTAAATGTTAAGTACCCTCATATGAAATACCAAAGGCAGAACCTAACCTTTATTCCTACGAACAGAGTTGAGTTCTCTCTTTGCCACAATAAAGGTAGAAGAGAGATACAATTGACTTGAGAGAGGTGGAAGCTCCAGTTCCTTGCAGGTACTTCTTTTTGATCGCACAGAAATTCAATAGAATCAGCTGGAGCTTGCGTTCTTTCATAAGAGCAGCCCTATTGATACTATACGCGGGCCCACAAAATTGAAAAGTCCGACACAATGCTGTAGCACATGGTTTCTGTTCTATAACGAAAGCGCATATGAGAATAACGTGAAGCTCGACGAGGTCTAGGTCTAGTACTGTAAGCCTGAAATAGAGAAGACGAGAAACATTGAATATGACAAAAAAGAAAAACTATAGTCCCGGGTCCCGTAGTCCAGTCCCGGAGCTTAAAAAAATTGACAAGCAATAAACACCAAAACATCCAAAAAACAAACAAACACACAAACAGTTAAAAAAGAAAACACACCAACAAATATGACTACATGCCTTTGGGCAGCCCGAGATATGGAGTCAGTTTTTTTTTTGGTTTAACGCTAACCAACTTATGTAGTCATTTTTTTCTGGTTGTTGTTTGTTTTTGGGGTTTTTATTTATGAAGATTTGTTGGTTTGTGTATCTTTCTTGTTTGTTAGTTTTCCATTTTTTTTGGCTCTGAAGAAGGTATGAAATTAGGCGTTTCCACTGCGCTGGCCATTACTTTTGAATCAGGCGTGGGTTCCTGGGGGGGTACCATACAAGGGTGGGTCTTGGGAGGGGTACCATTTACGTTGGGAACATTTTGGAATTGAAGTTTCTCGTTGCACGGAGGCTGCGGATCCTGATAACTCGGGCACTGTTGCGCCCGCCGTTCATAATGGGCGCGATCCTCAGAAGCTTCGATGCTTGAGGAAGAAGGCAACTTTGCACCGTCCAGGCGAGGTCGTGGACGAGTTCCCTGATAATGAGACCGCCATTCAGCTTCTGATGGCTTCCTGCCACATTCCTGGCGTTTGCGGAATGCTCCCAAAGAACGTGGGGGGGAAGCACCTATCTAGCATAGAACTAGGGCCAGTACTATGTGTCAATCCATGACCTTGCTGAAGCCTTTGATCTTGCAAGGTATTATTACGATGGCATGATGTGGAGCTCGCTCTTTGTGCCATGGCGCGGTGCCAAAGAGGACCACATCGTGAAGGTCTCTGGGATCGGAGGAGTCATGCGGTTTGGATGCACTACGGACGTGCATGCTACAACTCAGGGTGCATCGGAAGCGAGCCTGCATGTTGTTCTCTGATGCCCCTCGACGTCACGACAGGTCTGACATGAGTCCACCGTTCATTCCTCCATGGTGGTGCATACTGCCCCCTCCAGTACGCGTGCTGCGTGGACTATACTGGCAAGGCAAGGTGTTGGAATATGGCCATGGGACGTCTTCAATGGGCACTCTCCAATTTCATTCTGGCACCGCTGGAAATTTCAGGCTATCTTGATGCTTTGATGTGGTTCCGCGCTCCACCTCGAGCTCAGTCGCACACCGGCACCAATTAGTCGTTGTTGGGGTGGCTGTCAAGTCTAGTGAAGGCACCAGGATTGCATATGTGAACTCTGATATGTACAAGGCTCGAAGGAATCTGTGGCTCCCGACGTGAGCGCAGCGACAGTTCCACACCCATCAGGCCCAGCCCGGGTCTGCTCACAGCTCAAACGTAGAATCGGGCTCACGGATATGTTGCCATTTCTGCCGCACAGTTCATTGCCAGGCGTCATCCTTCTGGTCTCGCAGCAGAGCGGAAGTGGCAAGCCTCAAAGGCCTTGCTGAAACAGGCGCCGCCCAAGCTGGCCAAGGCCCCGAACTGAGCAGTTGCACAGTGTTGCACAGTGTTGCACAGTGTCGGTGTTCTAAGAGGGGTGCACAGTGGTGGCATGCGGTGGCGTGGTGCCTCAGGCGTTGGCTGTTTCTGACCCGAGTGGAGAGACAGTCCGAACGCTGCTGAAAGACTTCTACGATGCAAGGACCAGAATGTCCTCTCAGCAGGGAAGGCCTGCACAAGCACAGCATGAGTGGTCAATTGTTTGCCAGGAGTTTCACGCTTCATGCTGCCGCCCTAGCCTTTTGCCTGCTCTTATTGCCGCTGGGAGCGGTAACTCCCCAGATCCGCAGCACCGTGCTGGGGCTGACTCTGGCCTTTTGGCGGCATGCAGAAGTTGGGAAAGCAGTGATCTGACACACCGTAGTCCCTTCAAGTGGAGCCCGCGTTGAAGGTGACTTCCGTGAAATTTGCATGGCATACGGGAGAGGACAAGCGAGCGTCGCGGTGAGTTGGTCGCAGAGGCCGTGTACAACTGTGCTTCGTGCAAGCCTTGCTGCCCAAAGTGGCGGCTGTGGCAGCCGAGAGTCTGGACACAGTTACATTTGGGATCATAACTGGTTCAGAGACTGAGCGAGGGGAATCCCTGACCCAGTCCCTACCGTTGCCGGACTTCAGGGTTTGAGAAAAAGTCCCCAGAGCAGGCAAAAAAGTATCGGGCACTGGATGAAACTTCAGACTGATACCTGGCATCTCGAGCAGAGCTGTTGCCTGGTTCAGCTCGAGGGTACGTTAAGCAGATTTGATGAAGCGCCGTGGCAGGTCAGGGTAAGCTAGATGTAGCATGTTTTCTGTTGAGCATTGTTGAGCCAGCTGAGGGACTCCCATGTGCAGAGGTGAGAAAGTCCACTGTCCGAAGAGCGATTGAATTGCTTGTCAGGTCGTGCTGTTCAATATTGTCATCAAGGCCTGTGAGAGGCGTGACGCCTTGGCTCCACGAGGGACAAGCAGAGCTGCGGCGCTAGGGCTCTTCTTCTGCTATCTGGCCAGGGCTCAGCAGTGGCAGCGCGCCTTGCGGCTCTTCCGCCAAATGGGCTTGCGGGGAATCCCACCTGATGCCCTGCTCCGAGCTTGTCGTGAGCAACCATGGATTTGCCAGCTTGACAGCATTTACCAGTAAGGATGTCAGCCTCACTACAGCTATGACTGCCTTGACGCGTGGTACTAGATGGGTCTGGAGCTTGGACTGGCAATCAGATCAACACTGTCTAAAAAGCTGGTCTGGGCATTCACACGTTGATGTTTGCACAGGATCTCAGCCTCCAGCTGATTGACGAGGTGACGCTGACTTGCAATTCTTTGCTCGATTAAACCTTGAGATAGCTGGCTCTGCATTCGGAATGAACACATCTGGCCACTCGCCCGACATTGTCTCTGGCTTGGGCCTTGTCAGAACACGTTTGTTGAAGTCGAGAAGCAACAGGGTTGGATGCCAAGTAACCGCTAGGGCTGGATGCTGGCAGCAGCCTTTTGGCGGTCTTTCGTTTAGCTGCTTGAGACTTCAGCTTTTGTGGTGCACGTGCTGGAGGCGCAAGGGATGTCAGTGATGCCCAGCAACTTCATACTGAGCTCTGCCTGTGCCTTAAGATTGAGCTTGGTGAATGAAGCTGCCCTAAACGGGCAGACTCGAAGTCCGACGTCTACATGTAAAGGCCATCGCGGCATTCGAGAAAGGCCACCAATGGCCATTGCCTCAGCATCGGGGGATAGTTGAAGTTCTGACGAGTTCCTGATCATCTTGATCCTGTTCGGAGTGTCTGTTTGCTGAAATCCGTTTCTAGTTAGTCTCCCAGATCCGGCATGTCATTTCCCTTGGCTCAGCTTAACTTCAGAACGGTCAGGAGGATGGCGGTGGAGTTCTTGAGAGAGGCCGGGCTTCCGGCTGGCAGCCCAGGGGACTTCGCTCCCACTCCGGATTTCTCAGGGTGCCTGGCCATTTTGGACAGACTCAGGACATCACCTCATTGAACACAACCATCAGCTGCCTTGCAAAGGCACTGTGCAAACAAAGCCATGCCATTGCCTTGATGCCTGCTGGGACCCTCTGCAGGCGCTCAAGTGGCAGCATGCATTGGAGCTAGCGGCCTCCCTGCCCGCAAGACAGCTGCAACCCACCAATGTGACATTGAGCGTCCCGGCCCGAAGTGGGTATGAGATTCGCTTTTGGGGCTACCATCATCTAGCTTCGACTGGCTGCAAAGGCCTCAATTGGAGCCTGCGGAGCCGGGAGTCATTGGACTTTGGCACAGCCGATGGCCTATCCATGTTCTTGCGTGTGGTATTGCCACTTTTTTGAATGATTCCAGAAAGCTGAGGCATCTCTTCTCGGAATTGCGAAGCAGCAAGGCCCTCCTGTGCTCTCGGTTTATCGCGCATAGTTTGGAACTGGCGTGTCGCAATTATGCGCATGCTGCAGGTTCAGAGCAACAACATGAGCCTGGGTGCGCTGGCCTCCACCCTCGGTGAGTCTTCGCACTGGCCGCGAGCCCTGCAGCAGTTGAAGGTGCAAACGCCTAAAGAGCCGAACCTTTCCATAGAATGCATTCAGGGTAGATTCCGGAACTTGGGCAAGGCTTTCCAGACAGATGGTGGTGTGGCAGATGCTATCACCTGGTCCGCCGTCCTGGCAGGCTGTGCGAGGGACCCAGCCTTTAGTGACAGATGATGGTGTACCCAGTGCTGAGCCTCCAAGGCTCGGGGTTCCAGTTGGGAGGCCGCCCTTGCAATGCTGGAAGAGATGAGGGTGCCTTGACTAATTGCAGGGCTGTGAGGATTCTCGGTATTTCTCCTTTGCCTGGATTGGCCGAGGCTTGCCAGCTGGACTCACATGTCCAGACACCCAGACTTGTCAAGTCTCTGGGCTTGCAAGCAAGCTGCACCTGGCTGACAAGTCAGCTGGGATAAGATGAGGCTATCTCCTACAACGCCACCATGACAGCTTGCCAGCGGGCTTGTCTGCCTTGATTACTTTACTCATAGCTTCGAGCCCTCAAGCTCAAGAGATAGAGCTGTGCCAGGCGCATCGGTGGCAGTGCGCCCTGCTCTTGCTGGAGGATGCCTAATGCATTGGCAGACTGCTTGCCCCGGGCAAATGATTTGGCAGGACATGGCTTCCAGGCAAATACAGACTGGAAGCCAGACCCACAACGTTGGAATTCAGGCCGCTGACAGCTGATTTGCTTTCTGCCAGTCGACGTGCTGGTGGAAGATCGGAGTGTTCGGGGCCTTGTTCCATGTTTCACGTGCGGACTGCGAAAGCAATCTGCAATTTCATAAAATCTCGTCGATGAGCAGGCCTGCTTGTCTGCTGCTCTTTGGGAGTCTGCTGTACATTTGCTTCAGCAGTTGGTGCCACCCTGAGCCATGATGAGTTTTGAGAGGTTGCATGCATGACTTCGAGAACAGCCTGCTCATTGAAGCCGGCTGTTTCTGATAGCGCACTTGTGTGCGTTGAAACATGGGCGGTCCCCGCAGCCGTCCATTTGGAGAATTTGTTTGTGTTTGTCCGAGGATGAGCCAGATGAATTCGCCTTCAGGGGGGCTACTTTGGCAATGCTGGCAGCCACTTCTGGTACAGGACACGCACAGGCCTGGAGCTTGCAGATTCGCGTTTTATGGGTTCGCTGAGTGTAATCGTGTGAGACTATGGGAGGATGAACCTCACTTGTTGCGTAGTCATGCTTTTTTGAATCCAGATCGACGCATTCTGCCGCAGCCACTTTGGTCAGTGTTCAGAGAGCTGTAGGACTGACTGTGAGCAGCGATGCTGTCAGGCAACGCGTCGTCCAAGGCGGCGGGGTCGTACCACTCGGCCGCAAAACTCTTGCACTGGGGACGGAACTCGGTGATGAG